ATTCTGCAGTGCCGAAGCGCGCACACAATCATTGGGTCATGACAGTTGGATCTAGCTGACTGTTCCTCCCAGCATATGTCTGGGTAGTTAAGGTCCCCCGTGACTACCATGTTGTATCTGCGGGTTCCCTGGCACCTTTTCTGGACCCTTTTCCTGTTGATTTTCATTTTACATTATGGGAATATTTTAGAAGAGAGATTACAGATGACCGGCCTTTGCAAAAATCTCTTAAAAATCAGAGGCACGGTTCCTCTAAAATACTCACAAATGAATTGTTTCATCAGTCCATAAAAGCTCTGGCACACAGAGCCCATCTGCACGTTCCCAGTCAAGTCAAGAAAAGTAAACATCCTGGTATAGGATCTCCCTGTGACTAGAACCAGTTCCATCACTCTGTAGTTGCCTTGCTGCAATCACCTACTACTGCTGTTCCCACCGTTTCTCAGCATATGTCAGCTTACTTTTGGTTTCCTCACTGATACTTTTATTTACCCACCTGTATGTCCACTGTTCTGTTGGAATGGACTGAAGTGGTGAGTTATTGGTACTTACATGGGTGTGCAAGGAACAATAGCTGAGATGTTTCTTGAAGAGGAAACGCACACAGTTATGTGGGTTTCCAGTTTGGGCTTCTCTTTTACATTACACAAAGAAGCAAGGTTGATAAAATTATTGGCCCATCAGCATCCAATATCATACCTTGTTGAAATTCAGTGAGGGAAAATATATATATATAAATATATATTTACAAAATGACTTATCATGTCATAAAATAATTAAGAGAAAAATTCAGACCAACAGTGAATCTACTGCTATTCCGTGGTTAATCTTACTGGGATTTGATAAATACCCAAAATCAGGCTGTCTTAAATTTTGGTTCTAAAGTCTCTGCTGAGATGGATACTCTTGACTTAACTGTTAGATTAAAATACCTTTACCTGTGTGTCTCGGGTAATAAAATCTGCAAGCCAGAGGAGATAAGAAGGTTGTGCAGAATTTTGTCACATAGGGTATTATCCCAAACGTTTGCCATAGGTGATCCCATAATGTAGTGCATCTGAGAGGGGCATTTGAAGATCAAAAATTCAGAAGCCAGGACAGACAGGATTGCAATCCCTTGTTGATCAGACAGCTTTGTTTTTTGAGCATATTGCTCATCACAATCCCTGTGCTCCACTTCCTTTCAGTGCAGATTAAAGACTGGGGTCTTATTTACTCTCCAGTAGAGTGTATGGCTGAGCTGGTGCATACAACAGCTTTTCAGTTCCCTTTTGAGTTTGAGCACAGAAGAATAGAGATTCATGGCTCCCCACCCCCTGCCAGAGTAAATTGACCTCTCAAATGCATCACTTCACCTAGTGGTATGGGGATAATGGAGAGCTGTGTACAGAAAGAAAGGAGGAGGCTTTCTGATGGGACAAGAGCCTGGGGCTTTTCTTTTGGAGGCATTCAAGTGTGTGAGGTCAAAATAGAAAACAGGTGAAAGAGGCCTACTCCCTGTCATGGTTCTTTGGACTCATTCTCTCATGCAGTGCAACTGTTTGATCTGAAACCTCGGGAGGGTGAATCCTTCTTTCTGGTCGTTGTTTATAGTTGCTTTGGGCAAGGAGTAGGTGGATCTCTTACATATAACCAAAGACTCTTTGCTACAAAGGAGCCTGCCCTGTATCTGTTCCCAGAAGAAAAGCAAAGTATTAACTAATGACAACCTCATATGGTGGCTCTAAATACAGGAGCAGCTGGCTACCTCGTATATCGAATAATCAGAAAATCCTGTTCCAGGAGCCCTTGTCCCTTCTCTCTGTGATTGCCACTTTGGCATACTTTGTCACATCTTGAATGACTTGAGAGCTCCTCGGGGCGCATACCTCATCTGTCTCCTTGTGCTGAAGCCTGCTTGGCATGCATGTAGGATTGAAAAAACCCAGAATCTTTCAAGTATTACATATGCCCAGCTAGGTGGTAGTGATTGTTTATGGTTGCTTACCTATTATAAAGTTAGTTTTTGAAGGCTTCATCACAAGTCTGTGCCTGTTTGCATGTGGTCTTATGTTTTTTATGTATTACACATAGTTTTGTTCCATTTCTAAGATTATTGGCATGCAGTTTCTTGTTCCTATTAGAGTCTGGTCTACTACTCATGGACTCTGGATCAGACCCTTGGTTAGCTTCCTGAAGGATAACTTCCATGCAATATCACAGATGAGTAAGAGGAAGAAAAAGAAGAGAGAGAGACTGATTCAAGAAATCGCATAAGTGTATAGTTAGTCTAAGTTGGACTGAAGCTCATGCTTTAAAGCTTCCTTCAGTGTCAGTCTAAATCACCATTATAATAAATAAAAATTGGAAATCAGATAGGCAGTAAGCAAGAAGGAAGGATTTTTGACAGCACAGGTTTCCCTCGCTTTATGTTGTACATGCATTCCTGGAAAATGGTACATAACTTGAATTTGCATAAAGGAAACCCCCTTTATAATGTAACAACTAGGGATACATTCCAAGACCTCAACAGTATTGACCCCCAGACCCATTTCTACTACTTATACAAGACAATTTTGGTACTCACCAACAGCAGACAGTACACATAAGCACAGGGCACTGTCATAATGAGGATGGCAACTACAGAAACGTGTTGTAGACAGTGAGTGAGGAGCACAGATTCACACAGGAGACTATATTTTGGTGTGCATCACTTCCACAATGCACCACACAAAGCAGCTGACTGCGGGCTTCAACCACACCAGTCACATAAGAGTGAATTTACCTTGCATATCGCGAATTTTTGGTTCGCATAAGAGCGAATTTGCACATACAGAACCTGCATAAAGCGAGGGAAACCTGTAGCCATTTTGACAGTGCAGTTAGAACTTAGAATACAGGAAATATTGAGCCACTGAGCTGTATATGATAGTGAGAGGTTTGCCATAAGGTAAATGTTGCTGTTTTGAAAGTACAGATTTGCTGATCTGTGCTGCCATGTACTCCTAACTTGAAGTAATAAAGGATATAACTTTGGCCCTCTGATTCCCCCATTTCTATGGAAAGCCCTGCACCCCTATGGTACTCTGTGAAACCAGGGTCTTAGTTTGCTTTGTTCCAAATGAACAGGTTACTTAGGCTGTACTTATTCTCACCTTCCAACAGCAGGTCCTGCTTTAGTGATCATAAGGCTCAATTACATGCAGTTCATGCAGAACACAGCATCCTGTTTGTTCCTTAGTAGAAAGAAGTACTCATTTGTCCCACTTTGCACCTCTTGCCAGTGAGTGACATTCAGACTGGAACAGTCTGAACTGAATCCCTTTTGGTGCCCCATTTGTCAACCACCCTGCCTGTCTGAGATATGCACTTCTAACCACAGCACACTGTAAAAAGTCCACCATTGAGTCTCTGCAACGATGAGTTTAGGGCAGTAGGACTTGATGCCCCTTGACATTTATCTCAGGGTGTTATATGCATTTGGGGGAATACACTATTTTTTCACAGGTAAAGTGTAACGTGACCATTGTTAGAGTTCAATTTTATGAACATATACACTTCTGAAATAGGATACTGAAGGTTAATTTCATTCCTATTCTTTAGGAGTATGTTTGCATGTTTGCAGTGGTATGCGTCCCATCCCTCTCCCCCCGAAGTTTATAATATTAGCACCTCTGAATAGGAAAGGGAGCTCTCTGGAAATTACTGCATTATTCTAATTTTATTTTATAAGAAGCTGTTAAGTCAGCGAATGCTTTTAAAGAGGCTAGAACTATTGTGCTTCCTGCAGCTAAACCTACTTCCCAGCAACCCATCTTTGAGGAGGTATTAATGCAACTATGAAATGACAATCAATCTACATGCAGGAAATAAGTCCTTTTAGAACTTTTCTTGTACATTTTGGTCAGGGTTTCTATTTTAATAGACTACTAATCAATTCATTATGATGTCAGTGCAGAGGCTGAGCATCATCCACATCTGGCTGAAAATGGAACCAAGTTATAAATCACTGACATATTTCTGCTGAAGCAAGCTAAATCCTCTCCAGAGTTTAGCGGACACTACTAAAGTTAGAGGTGAATGTCTATCCCTAATCATTTATGTGAAGGATAGAGACTGAACTCTAGCATGGCTAATGTAGCATCTGATCACAGTCCAGAGCTGTTTTTCATCCACCACAGTTGGATGGCTCTAAATTAAATAATTCAAGTAGTTAACGATGCTTGCTGTGTTCTTGTTTGGTGCTGTTCAGTTTGTAGAGCACAGTGGGATCTTTGCAGGGTTTACAAATTGTGACTCAGATCTGAGCTTGTTTCTGTGTGCTGAAGTACATGCAGTTGCTCCAGATGTGTGGCCATATAATTTAGAACAAGGGTGGCCAACCTGTGGCATGGGTGCCAGAAATGGCACAGGCAGCCACTCTGTGTGGCATGCAGCAGGTCAGGGACGGGACAGGCAGCACAATAATAGATAAGGCAGGAAGCAGAAAGCAAAGCAGCTAATTGGGCAGGGAGCACAGGGCAGGAAGCTGAAAGATGAGCAGCAGATCAGGCTGGAGAAGGGGATTGGAGAAGCATTTGGAGAGGGTGTGGGGCTAATTTGTGGCATGCCTCCCAGAAAAGTTGGCCCCTGCTGATTCAGAACATGTTCTGGCCCTTTTCCTGCATGTATATATCAGAATCATATCATCCATTAGGAGGCAAGAAGCTGCTTAAGAGTGAGGCAGCTTCTAGGACAGTTCAGAACTGGAAGTGAAGGCTACTCTTTGAAACTTCAGGAGAAATTTTAGGAGCGTAGAATGTAATTACCAAAATGGCATATTGGTGGTCCCCTGTACTCATGCAGTGAGCACCTTGGAACCTTAGAATAACCCCATCAGAATGGTCTGGTCTCTGCCAGATGACATTTCTCCAATGATTTGTGCTATGTGTCCTCCAGACCTAAAGAGAAATGGAAATCAATTGCTCTTGCAGACTGTGGTCTCCTGGATTTTTTATTCTGATCTTTTTTCTTAACTGCAGGTCATTTCATGGGCAACAACACAGTGATTGATGTTTTGAGGAGAGAAGGGTATGAGGTAGAACACACTGCTGCTGGACAACCCATCAACAAGTAATATATGTATATTTTTATCATAGTTGATAAGCAATAGAAAGAGAGACATAAATAAGAGCTGTTCCATAAGGGCTGTTCTCTGCTATTTCCCTATTCAATTAGTTTCCTGTGTTTTATCATCTGCAAGCTAATTTGGAAACAGAATTTGCATGATACCTGCTAAGTAGGTTTTTAACATGAATTGCAGATATTTTTCCCTGAACTTTCAGGATTTTAACCAGCCAGTTGTTATCAGGAGTGAGCTAAACGTATGCCTTCTTGGGCAAGCTATCCCAGTATAGTAGTCCATGCAAAGGCAAAACTCTGACTATGCTGGTTTACAACCCCTGTCCATCTACCCAGCTTGACACTTCCTGTCTCACCACCTGTGCTTCTGGGCTCCTATTCCAGTCCCTTCCTCTTCTCATGTGCTTAGCCATTTTCTCTCCTCTGGCCCTTCTTCCCTTATTTACAAGTGCAATATATTATTACTTAGCCCAAAAGCTTTCCTTTTTTTCTCATCTGCCAACCTGTATCCCCTTTTCCTCTCTAAGATTCCCCGTACATACAACTCTGACCTTGTTGTCTTGACTTCTTCTCCAGCAACTGTCCTTGATCCTTTCTGAAGAGTTTTTCAGCCTCTCCACTGTGGAGTAGGCCTCTCCACAGTGTCTTGTGAGCCTCTTTGTTCTAAGCTATATTATTTCCAAGTTGTCTGCTATCTTCAGTATCAGGGGTTGCTGCTGTTCCTCCAGGTTCCGCTCCTTTTTAGGCTAGGATGCATTTCTATGTTAGTTGTCCTCGATAAGCGTTTCATCTTCATCCCCTCTGGTGGCTCCTCATTCTTTCCTAGCTGTGGGTATCTGTCTGGATTTTGCCCTGCTCCATGCTCTCTCTCCAAGTGATTTCATTTCCCATAATTCCAATTACCAAAGAACTTCCAACTTTAACCCCTTCCCTCTGAGACCAGTATTGATCTTCCATTGACTTGGCTCTCTCCTATGGACTTCCTGCCACTGTGTCAAATTTGACCTCCAGTCTCTTGTCCTGCCTCTTCTCTCTGTTGCCTTGTCTGTGTCACTATTCTTCTTGACTGGTTTGTCACCTCAAGGCCAACTCCTCCTCCGCTCTATCCCTTTCCACACACTTCTCTTCTAGCTTAGTAGCTCTACAAAATTTCCTTTTCTTCTCACTGCTTAGACCCGTATTCATGTCTTAATCACCTTTTCCCTCATTTATGTTGTTTCCCTTTTGCCCCCTTTCTTCTAACCACAAATATTTCCTTCCCTGACCAACCCCCCATGTCTACCAAAGGGGCTGTCTGGGATAGGGGTTTCTTTGTGCTCCATGTGTGTATAGTGTCTGGCGCAATGCTGGAGGTGCCTACCCAGTAAGGCAATATTAATAAGTAATGACAAGATACCTTTTCTCCTGAGTGGAGCACATGATTTTCCTCCTTGAACACTTTTAGTGGCTCTCTCTGTCAAGCTTCTTATCAGATCAAATTTTCCTGTGTTTTCTGAAGAGATGTGGAAAGTGTTCTGTTAACTAAGGAGAAGGAATCACCAACACATTTACAGGCTGGGGGATGACCCTCTCAGCCGCACTGTAGCAGAAAGGGATCTTGGAGTTATAGTTGACTCCAAGATGAACATGAGTCATCAATGTGATGAAGTGATCAGTAAAACTAACTGCACTTTTTCATGCATTAGCAGTTTGCATCACAAACAGGTCTGGGGAGGTGATACTTCCCCTCTATGCAGCACTAGTAAGGCTGCAACTGGAGTACTGCATCCAGTTTTGGGTGCCATACTTCAAGAGGGATGTGGATAACCTTGAGAGGGTCCAGAGGAGGGCCACTCGAATGGTTAGGAGCCTGCAGGTAAGGCACTACGAGGAGAGATTGAGGGACCTAAATTTCCTCAGTCTCCGCAAGAGAAGGCTGAGCGGTGATCTTGTGGCCACTTACAAATTCATCGGGGGGGACAGCAAGGGATAGGAGATGCTCTGTTTACCAGGGTGTCCCTTAGAGTAACTAGAAATAATGGCCACAAACTGACAGAGAGCAGATTTAGGTTAGACATCAGGAAGAACCTTTTTATGGTAAGGGTTGCCAGAATCTGAGTGGGCTTCCAAGGGAGGTGGTGCTCTCCCCTACCTTGGGGGTCTTTAAGAGGAGGCTAGATATGCACCTGGCTGGGGTCATCTGACCCCAGCACTCTTTACTGCCCAGGGTAGGGGGTCAGACTCTGATTTGCTGAGGTCCCTTCCGACCTGAATATCTATGAAAGCTTCCTGCACTTGCACCTAGACCTTGTTTAGCTTGGCCTTCTCTATACATGCATTGTCATAACTCTGTTGTCAGATAGGGGTGGGCATTTATCTTGTTGTGGACAAGCCCTCTGTATTTAACTTTCATATAAGACAAGCGCTGAAGTCAACCTTAATTTAGACAAACACTAAGTTTAACCTTAATTTAGACAGGGCCTCTGTGCTTGGCCATATGACTTAAATATCATGTAATGCTATATTTGAGTTTTTGGGGTTTTTTTAAGAAAGAAACTCTTTTATGAGTTTTCTGTAGACCAGCTTCTAAGCGGATGGGGATTGTATGCCCTACAGGCTACACCACTGTGGGCTGCGCACTGCATGGGCCATACCCCCATGACCCACAGGCCCCTGGGTGGACCTCTCTGCCACAGCTGCACTATGCACATGGGCACCCCAGCCTCGCCTTCAGCTCCTCAGCTACGGGCTCCTCCAGCACTGTGGGCTACGCTGCCCTTCCTCCCCTCCCCCCTTGGGCCAGGGTCAGGAAGTGGAAGTGGGAGGAGAGAGAGGGGGACCCCAGCTGCTGCTGCAGCTGGAGCAGTAGTGGGATGGGCAGCCAGGTGGGAGCTCAGGGGCTGCAAATTAACCTTTCTCGGGCTTCATGCAGCCTGCAGGTTACCAGCAGTACTACAGAAGAATAAAATGTCCTGGTACATGATGTTTTTTGCTGGAAGGAGGGCTTTGGCCAGGCATTCTTTAAAACTTCTTTAGCAATTTTCTGAAATCTAGAGAAAGAGAGATCAAATTTCATTAAATTGCACATAGCGCTTATTTGACTTGTGAACAAAAACAGAGTTCAAATCACACAGCAGAACCTTAGCCCCATGGAAATCAACGGCAAAACTTTTGTTGACCTAAATTGGGTCAGAATTTCACTCATAATATTTCAGAGACCAAAAGGGAGCACAGGTTTCAAAGACTTGGAGGGCAGCTGGGCACCTGACTCCTACTAAAAGTCAGTGAAAGCTCAGCACCCAAATAATTGCCTTTGAAGCAGCATCTCTCCTGGTCCCTGGCCCAGATCAAAAGTTATAGCACTTCAGCCAGTTCATAGTCACTGCTGGAAATGAAGTCTTTTCTAGGGTCTGTGATTGACAGCGGCTGATAAAGTCAGTCAAATAGATGGGGGTTTAAGCCTTTGTTCAGAGAGAGCTAACAAAAATAGTATGTTGAAACTTCAGGACTAGTCCTCTCATACCATTTGAAAGCAAGTTTAAAGACACGAAATTAGTTTAAAACAGGCTGAATACAAAAGAGAAGGAAAACGCTTGAGATGATGTGGAAAATGGTTAATGTGGCATCTGAGAAGAGTGGTAACAGGACACAAAGATTTTCACGTCAAGTTCACTCATTTAAACTTGTTTAGGCCTGTACATTGCCACAAGCCATTGTCAGAGGATAACCACTCTCTGTGAATGGATCTCAATACAGACCCTCATGGACACGTAACCAGATCTCTAGGCCCATGGCGGCAAGCTGGACCTATGGTGGCATGGCACAGAAACATGGGTCAGAGTGGGCCTGGGGATAGAATTGCTCTTTCAGCCTCATACAGGATCCCTCCTGGCCAGGGGCAAGTCATGTGGAATCATGTGTACCATGCCACAGTCTGGCCTCTGCCAATCCCATCAGTCCCTGGATCTGTCAGTTTGGTACCTTTCATTTGCCCTAGTATCACTTTATTTGCCCTAATATCTTCTTTTTTTTTTTTTTTGCAAACGTGTAAAAGAAAGAAAACAGAATAACACAAAACATAATATGAATCAAAGGGGGATCTTTTGAGAGAAAGGGGAGGAAGTAGGTTTGTGCAAAGGCTGGCCTTCCCTGGGGCATGACAGTGTGTAGTAGCTGTGCCCATCAGGGAAACCCCAACGTCAGGGGTGACTGGTGCCTCCTCAGTCGGGGAGGAGCACCAGATCGCGGATGGGGGGGGGTCCCCCAGCAGCTGATCGCTGAACCAGTGGCAAAACCAGAAGTGCACTTCCGTGGGCACTTCCAGTTTCACAGTTGGTGCTTCCAGGAGGTGCACAGCTGATCTCAGGGGGTGCAAATGCACCTGCGTGCACCCTTTATGTGTCACCTATGCTCAACTTTGTCTTAGGGCCACCTGAAGCATCCGCTGAAACACTGTGGTTGTGCCAAGAGGACAAAGAAGGAACAAGGACTGAGCAGTGTGTGTGTGTGTGTGTGTGTGTGTGTGTGTGTGTGTGTGTGTGTGTGTGTGTGTGTGTTCATGTTCCCATAGGGGAGGGAACCATCAGGGAACAAAGATGAGCAGTGGTGAGCCAGCCCCAGTGGGGCTAGATAAGGACTAGGGCCTTGGAAGAGGGCAGAAATTGGAGCACAGAGGGTAGGGGCAGGGCTCTCAGTGTGTGGTGAAGGGCAGGGAGGGTAGATAAATGGCTCCAGCCCCACAGCAGAGAGCACTGAGAACAGCTATATATAGTGTCCTGAATATAATCAAGTTCCCAGTGCCTCTATTTTGAGCTTTTAAATATTATTACTGATTTTAGGTTGAATATATATCGCATAAAATATTCATCGTATAATCATAGTCATAATGAGTGCACCTCCTGTGTCTCCCCCCCGCAGCTGCTGCTACACTCAAGGAGAGTCAGCAAGTGTTACACTGTGGGGGAGGAGGGTGGAATCTGACCCCAGGGGAGAAGGATGCTCCTGTGGATCTGAGTACCTTTGTGTTCCTTTTTATCACAGGCCTGCTGCTGTTCGAAACATCTCCTGCTGATTCCCCTGTAGAAAGCACAGCAGGAAAGGCTTATGCCCTTAACTCCCTCAAGACTAGGATGCTTGGGCATTCTGGAGAACAGACCAGGCACCTTGTCCAGGCAAACAGACCAGGCACTTTCTGCCTATTCTGCATTCACAGGAATGCTTGGATTCCTAACTCTTCTCTGTCATGTTCATTGTGGTGAGCCCAGTTTCCTGCCCCCTAAAGGAGGGTCAGTCCCCTTTTGGAAGAGTTGTTTCAGAACAGGTCAGATAATGGTGTTTAGGGAGTGGAGAATAGTAACTAGGGGATTGCTCAGGTCACCTAAGGTTACCATAGGCAGCATTGTCTTTCAGTGGGACTTAAAGGTGAATAGGACAGGGGCTTTGTGGGCAAGCTCAGGAAGGTACCAAGGGTCACAGAAGTGATATTCAAAAGCTGCTCAAGGGGCAAACAGGTCTGTGGTGGAGCCTGGAGCAGGAAAATTTGGAGGTCAGCTGGTGTTTTGCCTTGCAATCCCAGCCTTGTATCAGGTGCCCCTACCAGTGAGCTGCAGGGAAACCCACTCTTCTGAGCTTCTCTCAGCCAGGGCTCTTGAGCATCCTCCCCATTCAGTTCCTGACTTTCTTTTGGGAAACAAGGGCAGATTTTCTCCTCATTTCACACTTCCCCTTCCAAGGCAGGCTTGCTCAGTGTTCTGCATCCTTCCCAACTTTCACCTGTCTGACTGCAACTTGCTTTCTACTCCATTATAGTTTTAGGTATGGGTCTGGTCCAAAAATAGCAAACCCTCACTACAGTCAGCTCCTTTCCAAAGAGTCCACCTCATTTGGGTTGCAGGGAAAGAAGGGAAGTCGGCTGTATATATATATGGTATACATACATAGCATATATAGCTGGCAGAGGGAACACTTTCACAGTGGTTTGTGTTCTTTCCCTGTCATATTTCAGTCCAAGTCTGTCTCCAGCCTTGTCTGGTTCAGTGAAGCTGCTCCTTTCCTTCTCACTATAAATTAGTTTCTAGATCTTTCAGGCCTTTGCACTACTCTGACTTGACCCTAAGACCTGAACATCTACTTTCCATGTGCTGAAAGGGAATTTGTTCATGCTACTCCCTGGGAAGGAGGGAAGGAAAATCTCTGCATGTTATACCCCAGGGGATTGGATTGTAGCTCTTGCAGCCACATCCTGGTATTGGTCTCAGCTTAGAGCTGTGCTTGCTGCCTTGGAATGAGCACCAGGGGGATAGTGCCTGCCTGAGGAGGGAGAGCAGGGATGAGTCATCTGCTCCCTCAATCAGGATGAAGCAGATTTCTCCCCAAGCTGCATCAGCTCCACTTGCACCCAGGTGAACAGGGTGGATGAGAGCTGTACCCCCAACCCCTTCTTAGCCTCTTTGTGGAGCAGGAGCAAGTTAGTCCCCACTTGCCCCAACCTTGGGAGAGAAAGAAACTTCCTGTTTGCCCCTGCCTCCAGCCTTGATCATGAAAACATCTCCTCTCTACGGTATATGTGAGCTTTGCTGCCCTAGAAACCAACTCAGTTGTGTCCCCAAGCTCTAGGACTGGCCTGGATGGCTTCTGGACCCATGGGCTGCAATCAGCAGGCTGACTCAACACACCTCACCAAAGCTACCCATCCCATGCTACCCATTCCCATGCTGCAGAAGCTATTTCAGCATCTTCCATGGATCTATCTACAAGCATCCTGCCAAGGGAAGACAGTGCTGTTGTTCCCACTTTAGCCATAGGAAACAGAGGAACAAATAGACTAAATGAATTGTCCAGTGTCACTTCAGCAGCTAGTAGTAAGGTAGGGAACTGAACTCTGGTCTTGTAGCTCTTAGGTTAGTGCCCAAACCATTGGGCCTGTCTTCCCACTTTTAAGCAGAGCTTCTGATCTTGCATTTCTGTTTCCTAGAGCTTAGTTCAAGGTGAATTGCAGAACAGGTGTTAGAAGGAATTAACATTTTAACAAAGGGCATGTTTGTGATGAACACAAGTGTCATGTAGAGCTCCTTTGGGTAACAAAAACAGCAGCTACACACAGTCATGTTTGCTAGGTCCTGATTTGCAGTATAAATGTACTCTAAGATCCTTTCAGAAGCTGCATCAAGCCATTCATTAATGTCCAATTAGAGGCCATGTACATGTCAGCCCTGCTTTAGGAGCAGGTTAGAGAAAAATCTGTCAGGAATGGTTTTAGTATTGCTGATCCTGCCTCAGGGCTAGGAGGTGGGTATTCTGGGTGACTTGTGTTCCTCTTTTCTCCGACTCTTTAAGGTACTGAACAGGAGAAGGGACAGCTCATGGGAGATAACTCCTTTCATCTGCAGGTTGCTGGTTTACAGGATGCACAGTGGTAGCAGTGAGGGTCATCAACCAGTGGAAGAGAAGGATGTGATAAATCCTCCCATTTGGGAGTGTTGGAGTCAAGGCCGGGCACACTGTGGTTTCAGCCTATTTGGGCTCAGGACCAGAATCCCAAGCTCTGCAGCAGATCCAATTAGAAATGTTGGGGACTTGCCGATCCAGCTGATTTCAGGATAGGGAAAAAGTGTTTAGCACTTCACTGTCAAAGTTTTTGTAATATAGTCAGCCAGATGCACTGTGTTATTCTTAAACAACTGCCTTTTCTCTGGCCAAGTTTGATTATTGCTCTTTGGGTTTGATTCTTTTTTTTCCAGGTCCTTTTAATTGAAGAGGATCTGCATGAATTTAGGTCTGACTTTGCACGGTGCGGGGTAAATGAATAGCAGGACTTAAGCCAGCATTTCTGTCATGGTGATTGTGGCTTCCTTGTCATTGTACTGAGACCTCCTCTTAGGCCTTTTCAAACTTTATCACTTGTTTCTCCTTTCCCAGTGGGAAAAACCCAAAAACATTGTCCACCTCCTCTTCATTGTCGCCAGCGTACACCTCATATGTGATTTCACAGGAGCTCCCGCCACATCTGCACCCCCAGAAGGAAGAAGAGGAGATTCTGCCTCACCTGCTGCTGCCTGAGAGCATTGACCTGCTGGAGAAAGGAGACAGGAAATACAAGAAGAAGAAGAAGAAGCAACAGAAGAAGCAGCATCTCCGCCAGTTTAATGACCTCTGGGTCCGCATTGAGGAAAGGTATCTACCTGGTGGGGAGGGAGGATGATCTGCTAGGTTGGCTGAGTACCCTGCCCCAAATCCTGTGTTCTGACCTCTTCAGATGCCCATCCAAAGCAGGAGGCGCCCTCACAAGCTGCTAGCCAGACACTTGTTTCAATCAGGTTTAGCATCAGAAATGAAGTGGAGACTAAGGTACTTGTTTCCCTGGCCAAGATAGCTGACTCAACTCAGAAACAGCCAGAGCAACTTTTTGAGCTGTGTGTTGTTCCTCAAGTGCCTTCCTCCAGCCACTGTCCTCCCACTCACCACTGAATGCAATTCTTTCATGTTCTCTTACTTCCTTTCCATCTGCTGCAGTATAAGCCCAGTTCTCTCCATTCCATTGCCTTGTGGAGGCATTTTCACCTATGCAGTGTGACCATTTGAAAACAATTTTTCCCCACATTGCACATGTATTAATGACCCAGGGCAACAAGGAATCAAGTTCTGGCATGTTTTTAAGTACGTTTCTAGGTTCAGTCCATTGGGCTTCCATAAAGCATTCTTCATTATCATCTCAGATGTACCAAATATGTTGGGGAACTTCAAGACATACAAAAAACTAGAATTCTTGGTTCCAAAATGATACCTTTTATTAGACCAACTGGAAAATGGCAAGAAAATTGTCCTTTTCTGCAAGCTTTCAGGATCAAAGTCCCTTCGTCAGGCTCTGGGAAAAGTGTAGATGGTACAAGATGGTAAAAAGTTCCCATAGGTAGGAAATAAACTTCATTTTTGCACAGAGGGATGGAAGTCTGTCCCTCTGGGTCCATGAGTGACTTTGCGAGCTGTGTTGAGTAGCTCTTTGATGTGTTGATCAGGTAGAATTCCTTCCCTGGAGGTGTCAGATGGTAGACAGGTAGGCAAAAAAAAACTTCCTTGTTGTTCTGCAGTGAAGTTTAAAATCCCAAATCATCTAAAATTTGGCATCTTCCATGTTTCAGGGTTGTACTTGGTAGCCGTGTTGGTCTGAGACAAAAAGACATACAAAAAACTAGAACTCTTGGTTCCAAAATGATACCTTTTATTAGACCAACTGGAAAATGGCAAGAAAATTGTCCTTCTCTGTAAGCTTTTGGGAACTTCATACCTTCATGATATATTAGGTCACCTAATGCCATAATTTTCCCATTGCTCTAAATAATCCAAGTGACCTAGGTTACATGGGAGATGGTACAGTGACAAGTACTGTTCTGGTTTATATATCTGGGCAACTGTGTTGTTTATTAGGTATAATTGCATATTTTATTTCAGTTCAGTTAATGAAATTGATACTAGTTGCGATTGTTATTATTGTGGGTGATATTGGGTGTGCATATGGTAGAAAACTCTAATGGAGAACACTGACTCAGCAGGTGCCCCAAGTTATGTTCACAGGCAGACAAGGTTCTTCGGGTGAATATGATCTCTTTTATTAGACCAACTTAAATAGTTGGAAAAAAAAATTTTAAGCAAGCTTTTAGATTCAAAAACCCTTCGTCAGGCTGAGCAAGTGTCTGCAGTTGGTGTGTGCTCTTCCTGGATGGAATGAAAAGTAAAGAAGGCAGAGGCTAGGCTGGTTCAGCTTTACACATGCATTTTTCCCCACTTAATCAGTGGACCATGCCTGGACCTAGAGCTAATCCTGTGTGTTTGCAAGATGCAGAGACTTCAGGGAGCCCAGGACAATAGGAGGCATTCCAACTTAATCTGGAGGAAGGACTGGGTTGTTAATTTCAACTTCAGGGATGTGCTAGTGCACAGCAGAAAGAAAGGCCCATAGGGAAAACAAAGCTGGTACATTTATGCCAGCAGTTATGGCCTAGCAAACTTCTCCAGGCTCCAGGTATTTGGGCCTTTATGACCTTGGGAATGACTGAGATCAGATTTACTTTTTATTTTTTTGGCTTGCAATTCTCTCCCTCTCCACCTATGGAATACATTGTTTGAGCTGGGAGCAAAATCTAATGCACAGAGGCTGCTTACAGATATTTAAAAAAACCAAAATGGTGTTTTACTTTAAATTCAGCACACTCCTGTGCCAAGCCCAGTGCATGCCCAGAAGAGGCAGCGCGTTAGTTGGGCTCGGCTTGCCTAATATCTATATAGGTCGGGTGCTTTACTGGGGCTCTTTTGGTGCTTTTATCTAATAGCGGATTGAATCCGCTATTAGATAAAAGCACCAAAAAGTCCCGCTGTAGCGCCTGATCTATACGAATGCTGTAGAGTCAGGTTGAATTAATGCACTGCTTCTTTCAATAAAGTATGTTCTTTGGTTTTTCGGGTTGGTTTGTTTGTTTTTAATGTCTGTAAGCAACCAGAGATTACACCAGCAGCTGTTTTTAGTGATAACCTCAGAAGCAGTGAGTGATGGATGGGCTGCCCAAACAACCTCTGTACAGGGGTGGGGGGAAGTGAACAGAGGTTTGCATTTGTGTCCTGTGGATAGGGAAAACTGTAGCAACCCAATGTTTCTGCAGTAGAGCTATAGAAATGATTGTCAGTGAGCTACGATGTCTGCCATGGCTCTTCCTATTAGATTCTTTCCCAAACAGGGACCTCTGTGCTTTGTTTGACTGTGCAGTGAATCTAGCAGGACTTTACATCATAGATATGCTCTGTTATCTCCATGTAATGGATAGTTCCTCTAATAGCTATTGGTAGGGGCCTGTGCTGTGCTAACTACCCCATCTAGTGGTAATGTTTGATGTATGGCAGATGAAATACAGCTGGTCAGACAAGCCGCTCAAATTTAATACAGGTTTCCCTCGCTTTATGCGGGTTCTATATGTGAGAATTTGCTCTTATGCAGTGGCCCTTTTTATACCAAAAATTCGCTATATGCAAGGTAAATTCACTCTTATGTGATCAGTGTGGTGGAAGCCCACAGTCAGCTGTTTTGTGTGGTGCATTATGGGAGTGATGCACACCAAAGTATAGTCTCCTAGGTGGATCTGTGCTCCTCGCTCGTTGTCTGTGACACATGCTTCTGTAGTTGCCATCCCCTTTACAGTAACATTCTCCACCACCCTGTGCTTGTGTGTACTGTCTGCTGTTGGTGAGTACCAAAACCGTCTTGTAAAAGCGGTAGAAATGGGTCTGGGGGTCAGTACAGTCGAGGTCTTGGAACGTATCCCTATTTATTACACTGGGAAGTGGATTCCCTTTATGCAAATTCTAGTTATGCACTGTTTTCCAGGAACACGTGTACAGCATAAAGCAAGGGAAATCTGTTCTCAGTTGCTACCTTATCTAGATTCGCAGCCCTTATTTATCTATATCCTTGTCATTGGCCACTGACAGGTAAATATGCTACGTTTGTTTTGCTTGGGTCTGGGCCATCCATAACTGTACTCCTATGAGCACGTAAACATGAAAGGCCCAGCCAGAGTGATTTAAAGCAGTCTTGTAGTGGGTTTGGCTGAATTGCTTTGGTCTGTGCTCCTGTATGTGTCTGCTGTCAGCCCTGTTCCTTTGTTGTACTGCCAGTTGGCTTCTTTCCAGTTACTGTACGAGCCTCCTGCCAGGCCTTTTGGTAGGGAATGGTAAGTGTTTTTAAAAAGGATACTAATTGCCTTCAAATTCCCAAAGCATTTTTGCAGAATGCACTTGGGCTAAAAAAAAGCTAGGATAGTGCATAGCAGCTGAGGAGCACCAAAGCGAGTGGAATGAACGTGCTTTTGTCATGGGGCAGGTGGGCTTACTTTTAATTTTGCTGAAATTTATCATAGCTTCCACCTAGCAATGTTGGGCTGTGTGGCTTTGAGCTGTGTCAGCCGATTGCCCCAGGTCAAATTGGCTGCAACTTGTTATCCACAGAGAGCGGTACCCACAACTCTCATTCCTGGATGCAGCCAGCTTGTTGCAGGGATGTTTGCTCCTCTTTTGCTAGACATTGGGAAAGGTTCTAACAATTGCTTTTCCTTGTCTTTACTCTCAACCCATGTATACCCTACGTATGGGCTTTCTCTGTCTGCCATTGGCAGCAGTTTTCATGGAGCATTGTTTATGCGAAGCCTGCGGAATTGCCATGTTCTTGCTAACACACGTGCAAACTGGGGGAGGGCTGAGGAAGACCAGGAAGAGCTTGTGCCAAACTGTTGAAAGCAGACCCTTCAGTGCCTCGTATGTAGAAAGCATGCCGATTGGCAACCCCATCTCTGCTGTTCCTCTGAACGACTGCCATGCAGCCAAAATGCTAGCCTCAGGAGATCAGGAACGCTGCTCTTTACTACTTCCATGAACCTGTCAGCCATTCGTCCTGTAGATCCTGACACTGGGACAAGAGAAACTTCCCCATCACGTTGCCCCCTTTATATACGACTGATTCCCTTCCCTTACAACCCCATATTGAAGCTCAGCTGCATGGTGATTGTAGTGTGAGGTGCAGGGTGAGCTGTTGCTCAGGGCATTCTGCTGTCACTAGCATTGGGTATCTATCCAGGTATTTGGATAGGAATATGACTCGTGTGGTTTTGTACCTTTCCCCAAGGTTAAGGGTAAGAGCGTAGTGCCCAGCCAGTAACAGCAGGGGTCATCTGAGAGTCCTGCTCTCAGTGTGGAGGGCATGTCTGGGCAGGATTGCCTGATTGTCTAGCTTTGGACGTTAAGTCCCTACTCAAGAAACATTCTGCTGATGCCAATGTCACAGTCAGCTATCATGCTATTTCCAGCCTCCCCTGTTTTGGGAAAGGTCATTGCGGTGGTAACCCAAGAGCCCCAAGCACATTCTGGATGCTATCAGATTCCTAGACCCTTGTCTCTGGCTTTTGCTCTGAGTTTAGCACAGAGACTGCAGCTGGGGACTAGATGTAGAAAACCAATTGCCACTGAATCCTGCCAGAACAGTAGTGCTGGGCAAAGTAATCTGGTGGGGATTGGGACACATCGTAGATGGGATTCAGTCTCCCCTTGTTACTGTGGTTCACAGCCTTGGGGTACTTTTGGATCCTGTGCTGCAACTAGATCTCCAAGTAGCAGTGGTAGCTAAGAGTGCCTTTCACCAATTCCATCTGATGAGCGGGTTGTGACTCTTTCTTTTTTAATCAGATATGTCCCTTTATCAATGCCTTCATCACTTTAAGGCTACACTACTGCATGGGGCTGCCCTTGATGAGTTTTTGAAAGCTTCAGCTGGTGCAGAATGTGGGGACCCACCATCTAATGAGTTTGGATCACCAGGAACACATAACTCCAGTTGCTCCCAAAAGCTTTCTGGGTCCAATTCAAAATGCCAGTTTTGACCTATTAGGCCCTTAAGGATCTAAATTCACAGCCCTTATTTATATACATCCTTGTCATTGGCCACTGACAGGCAGATCTGCCAGGTTTGTTTTGCTTGGGTCTGCGCCATGCATTACTTTATTCCTTTAAATAGTCTGGGCTCGACATACTTAAGGGATCACCTTCTCCCTTATGTCCCTTGGCAATCCCTAAAGGCAGCTGAGAGGAGCCACCTGCAAGTACCAGGTGCCAAGTTTGCTTGGTGAAACCATGTGGGAGATCATTCTCACTAGTCACTCCTCAGCTCTGGAACACCTTCCTCCTTGAGGTCTGCAAGGGCCCAAGCCTGGGCATCTTCTGGAAGCGCTGACAGATCTGATTTGAACAGGCATTTAGCAGGCAAGACTAAGCTGGGATATCATTTAAGGAGTTTTTGTTATATATGTAATTGTAGTATTCTACTTGCTTTTGTAAGATTGGGAGGTACCCCACAAGCTGCTTCAGACCCTCCTCTGGCCGGGTCTGCAATAGGCTGCAATTTGATTCCTGGTTCATTTGGCGTTCCCTGACCAGACACCTTTTGTTTGCTTTGTAGTACCACCGACCCACCTCCACGGATTCGCATCATTAATGGGTATATTACAGTGGAACCCCAGCCACGAGGACACGGGCGATCCAGCCACATCCAAGCAGATGCCAGCAGAGCTCATGTGCCTTTCCAGTCTCTGTACCTCTTTTTATTGACTTTGGCTTTGCATATGCTACCTGCGCTACAGTGAGACTTGGCATAAAACCACAGGGGCCTTGTCTAAAGCACAAATTTTGGGGGAAATATAGAAGAAAAGACTCTCCAAGTGTGACACTTGTTCTGTGGAATGTTCTTGAACCTCCTTCTTTTCCTGAATCTGGACCATTAACATGATTAACTTGTTTGACATGCCCAATACAGGAGAAGATACTTTTAATGAGAGCCATTATTTATCCTTCTCTTGCAGAAGAATTATTTCATGTTATCCCATAATGCTTTTGGGAGATGTATAATGTTGCTGTAACATAGCTGCTGTTTAGCTGTATGAATTTGACTAAATACATTTTGATTTTGGTTTTGGTTTTGTTCTGGAAGTTTTTTTTATTGATTGCCTTGTGAGACAAAACATTTTAAACCACCACTAACTTGTTAATTACCTTGGCTGGAAGAGAATATCTTGGTCACATCAGTGGAACTGAAAGGAAAAGCTTGGTCCTATGTCTGCATTTCTTTGGTTTCTCACCAAATTATATATTTAAGTTTAAGGCAAAATATTCAGAAGCATTTAAGTGATTTGGGAATTTTAAGTCCCATTGAAAGTCATACTTATGACTAGCATATGAAAACCAGTCTACCACAGACCCAGTATTTAGCACCTTCTTTTGGTAGTGTTAATCAGGAGGTACTTGTAGCTAGAACATCCCTGTCTCCGGTAGATGTTACAAGAATGTCCTAGTGAAGAATTTTCTTTAAACACTGACTGATAAATATTTAAGAAAAATAATTTCCTAGGGCAGGGTTTTTCAACCTTTTTCAACAAGTGTACCCCTTCTGTCTCAAAAGTTTCAGCTAATGTATCCCTTTATATTAAAATTATTTGGGTGGGCTGAGCACGCATATGCATGCACAACACCCCCACCCCACTTCTGCATCAGGTAAGTCTGTGGGGGAGGGGAAAGACCTTGGGGGGCAGACCAAGGCCCCATGGTGAGGGAGGGAGTGGGGCACAGGCAGGGGCTGGGGTGAATGGGGCCCTGGCCAGGCTGGGTCGTGGGACAATCGGAGCCTGGGCAGCTCATCCAGGAGCATGGAGGGCTCTCACTGCTGCGCGCACCCTGGCGGATGCCCGGGGGGCATGTGCCTCTCTGATCTGTGTGTGGGACGCAGGCAGCTGCCGCTGTGCACTGGGCTTTGCGTGCCGCTACAGCTTCCCCAGCAGCGGTGTGACGCCATGTGTCTGCCGCTGCCAGGCTGTGCCACAGCCCCTGCCCATCTAGCAGTGGGACGCACATGATGTTGCACTGCTCCTGGGGCAGCTGCAACAGTGTGCAAAGCCCAGTGCGCAGCAGCAACTGCCTTTGCCCCGCACACAGATCGGAGGGCATGTGCCCCCTGGGCGTCCACTGGGGTGCACACAGTGGTGTGAGACCCCCTTTATCTCTTATGACCTTTTTAAGTACCCCTAGGGGTATGTGTACCTCCGGTTGACATCCACTGTCCTAGGGAACTTCTCGAAGATATTGTAGGCATTTATAGATTTTCTTCTAAAATAACAAACAGAAAAGCAGATTTGAGGCTCCCAAAAGCAGAACACTGCCTCTCTTCATTAAATATTTATTGTTTATTTTATATTCAGCTTTACACTTTGGGAAATGCTTTCTTTCTTTTGCTAGTGCAATGACCCATTGGGAGTTTTATCATGGGTTTCAGTAGAAGCCTTTGCTTTCATATTCTCTCCTAAAGCTTTCCAAATTGTTTCTCTTCTAAGTCCTGTATTGTACCCTTACAATAAACACAAGCAAAGAGGGATATGACCATTACTCAGTGCCTCGCAGAACTGCAGCAGCCTGCTGAAACCTCCTTTGCTCCATTGGATCCAAATTAATGGAAATCAGGGGGATAGTGATGACTTCTTTTAACCTTTTGATAATGTGTTTTATCTTTAAAGGACAGACCTGATGAAGAAACCTTGGAAAATGGTTGTCTGTGATCTCCCTAACACCTTCTGCTTGTGCTTGTTTGATTTCCCCTCATTCCCACCTGGGCTCCTCTTTTCACTTGAGGACCTTGCCCTCTCTTTACATTTGGAATTATTATTAAGATGATTATTATATGCAGCCCATGTGGCAGCAATAGGCTGTACAGCAGGGGCGGGCAATTATTTCAGGTGGAGGGCCACTTACTGAGTCAGGGCCAGCCATCAAGGGCTGCATGACAGGCAGCCAGGGGCAGATAAATATTAATTTTCTAAATTTTTTAGGGGCCCTGTGGACCAGATAGAATGGTCTGGTGGGCCACATCTGGCCCATGGACCATATTTTGCCCACCCCTGCACTAGAGTCTTGGTCCAGGGGTTGTGCAAACACAGAGCATAAAGCTGTTCTGTGCCCCCAAATGCTTGCCATCAAATGGGAGCTGCATTTCTGATTCCTGTTCTTTTGTGTGGGCACAGATGCTCCGTTGGTCCTCTAGAGGGGTAAGAGGGAACAATGACATTTCTCTCTACCTCTGTCTTCAAATGTAAAGTCATACTGATGATGCCTGTGTCTTACACATCATGGCTGCTTGCATATGTTTATAAAAACCCAACAAAATGGTGCTTTTCATTAAACTTTGTGTGCTCCCACACTGAGCCAGCGCATGCCCAGAGGAGACAGTGTGTTAGTTGAACCCAGTTTGCCTGACATCTGTATAGATCGGGTGCTTTAGTGAGGCTTTTTGGGCACTTTTATGTAATAGCTGATTGAATTGGCTTTAGCTAAAAGCACCAAAAAGCCCCGCTGCAGAGCCGGGTCTAACTAATGCACTGCTTCTTTTGGTAAAGTGCCTTTTTTTTTTAAAACATCTGCAAGCAACCCATGTGTCATCTGTGGATCCTGACACTTTTTATGGAGATGAAAGCCAGGCATGATCAGGCTTCAAGTCACTGAGGACAGCATAGTACGGGAAAACTGGACAGTAGAGCTTCCATGGAGGACACTTAGCCTGGCTGTTGGTGGGGGCACAGGCTCAACCTCCTGTGCAGTAGTAGTGCAAGGAGTGCAAACCACAACTTTTTAAAGGGGCTGCAAAGGCAGCTGAGCAGTGTGATTCCTCTAGAGCCCAGTAAGCATCGTGCCTCACACAGGACTCCACAGCAGCCTGACTGTGCATGTACTCTTGCCTCCTTGAGGTAGAGCTTGAGCTAGGGAAAGCCTTTATAGATGCATTATATGCCAGCTGCGGAGCCATCTTAGACTCCAAAGCTGTACTTCATAAGGAGACATTTCATGTACAATGAGCTCAGCATATTGAGGCCAGTGGTACCAAGCAATGTTCCTGAGACGAAGAGGGATGAGAAAAACTCCTGACAAAATTAATACTTGACACATCTCTAGCCACTGGGCTTTTCCTCTCCCACTCACAGGTTTCTTCCCACACCTCCGCTTTTACTACTCAGAGTAGCTGGTCTGGGGTAGGGTAGGTTCAAGGGCTTATGCAGTACGGTAAGGAGCAGGTGAAGCCAAGCAGGTATTTCACAGACGCTGCCAGGTTGAGGACTTTAGGTGAACTCCCTAATTGACCATAATATTGTAACTGAAGTCAGAGTGTTAGTCCATTTTCCACTGTGTAAGATACTCAGTGCTGGCTTTACCCCCAGCTCCATACAAGATTGTTATTGGGCAGGCCCATGGCAGACTAGAAAAAGTCACAAGCATTTCCCTTCTGCTGCAGCCCAGAGGAAGCAGGGGTTTGAATGCCACTACAAAACAGCTGTATTCCTAATGGTCCCTCATATGGCAGGAATCAGGGCAGAAGAAGCAGTAATATTGTCAGGCATCCATTTTGCATTTGGTTGTGTAATTTGCTTGGCATCCCTGCACTCAGAAGCTGAATATGTGTTCTTTACTACCACTATTGGTTTTAACCACATTGATTGTTCATTTATCTAACTGACATTTTGAGACAGCCTCTAGTTTAAAAGTGACTGCTTTTGTTCAGTGTACTAGCCAATTGCCTGTCAGGAATGAGGGGGGGGAGCGTGCAGGGATGGAGCCCCATGCCCCAACCCCCAGTCCGGGCCCTTTACCTCCTGCTGCTTGGGGTCCGGGCCCAAGGGGGGAGGAGGCCTGAGCCCAAGGAGAAGCCAGCCCGCC